CTTAACTTTTAAAAAGATGTATATCTTGTTTCCCCAGCTAGAATGCATGTTTCTTGAGGACAGGGGCCATATATTATACTATTTTATATTTAACTTAGTATTTGTATAATGCTAAGCATATAATGGGTGTTCCCAATCACATTAAATATTGATTAAATAAATCCATAAGTAGTTTGCAAGATAAGAGAAAAATAAGTTGAACTAGAAATCAACATAATATTTTTAGAAATACTTATGTAACTGGCATTTTGGAGTAACTATTACTACTTTAATATATCAGAAGGTTTGACCTCTCATTTATTTAGAACTAATGATTTATCATTTCTTGTTCTTCCTAAGCCAACTGAAAGCTTAAAGCTTAATTTATCAACTATCTCAAAATAAAATTAGGACAACTCAAAAAGTGGCTATTATCTGCCCATCTTCATACAGTATCTCACCAATATATTGAGTACCCACAATGGTCATAGCTCTAAATAAGTTCCTTTTTTTTTTTCATTCTATTTACCTAAGTCTGTATTAACTATTATAAATTTAGAAACACACAAAGACAAATTTAAAAGAAGTTTTTGTACAGAACAGAGGCAAAAATTCTAGTATCTAGGTTCAGCAGGAAATTAATCATTCCTATTCAAAACTAAAACAAACCAAACAGCTTTTTAGTTCTAATATGCTCTTCTTCTTCAGTCAGTGAATATTTTAGGCACTGTGTAAACATCTCAAAACAGTATTTACATCACCTAATCTTTAAGCCTACTCTGAACTTCTCTTGGAGAATCAGTTTTGCTTTTTCATTTATTTGACTTAAACAAAGCCAGAGCATCACCAACTTCCTCAGCAAACAGGAAAATATACTTCCAGGCAAGATTTTCTGACACATTTGTGTCTTGGCCAAGTACAGATGGGTATGCCTCTATTAGTTTTAACAATACACAGGCTATAATAAGTCTTGTAATTTTTGTTCAGGTTGGTAATTTGACATGATAAAAAAACAGAGAAGGGAAAAGTGATAAAGAAAATAAAAGGTAAAGTCTAAGAAACAAGGGTATTCTCAAGTTAAGGAATCAAAGTAGAAAAGAAGAGATGTTACTAGATGAAAGAAGCCAATTCATTTCTATCTCAGGACAATTATCAAAGCCAAATTTAGTAGTTTTTTTTAATAGAAAGTAACACTAAATTTGGTAAGTTTTCAAAACAGGCCAATAATAAATATACCTTCTAAAATTTACCAACGTCTTCTTGAACAGGAAGTAGATTGTTTAAAATATGATATTAAAGGCAAAATAAATAATTAAATTACAAATGAAGGATAATGTATACAACTAGTAAAAAAGCCAAGAAAATAATTGGTTGTCTCACAAGACTTGCTATCTCAAGACTAATATTATTATAAAATAAATGTTCTATCAATAAGGGAAAATTAGAAAGAAAAGAAAAGCTGTAATTAATTTTAAAACATTTTCTAAAACAGTCCTCATCAATTGTTGATATTTAACTTCTAAAGATACAGAGAATAGAATAAAAGTTATTTTACTATATCATAAGAGAACTACCCACTGTTTATTTTTGTAAGATGGTTAATCATACGTGTTCCTTCTCTTTTCATTCAAAAGACTTTTCTCCCCAAAGCTCAAGAAGACTTCAAAGTGTGGAAACTCTTTCTTAGTTTAAAAAGAGGTTATTTCACCAACGGTATAACTTGGGAAACTACCAAGTACAAAAACTTTACACTGTGTTATATCCTGTAAAATTTTGAAGTAATTTTGTAATTAAATTATACTTCAAGTAATTATACTTCTAGATTTTATCCTCTAAGTATCAGCCATTCTCCCTAACTCCACCATCCCCTAGATGGCTGAAGCACAATTCTAAGGTCAACTTAGCAATAGTGAAAATATTTTATCAGATCACTTCCTAAAAACATTTCAATATTCAATACTTAAGAGTCTTTGAGACAGCCTAGCAAACCCAACTGCATTACCTCTTTATCTTTTAGTCCCAGGAGCAATACTTCTTCCATAAGGGTGAGGCGGATATCCTTAGAGTCTCCAGGGTCCTCATTGTCTTGAATTCTCCCTTGATTAGTGTCTTCCTCACTTTCCACCTTCTTTTCAGAGTTCTTCCCTACTTCAGAGCGACGGGCTCGGTGAGTTAAAGTGGTCATTCTCACCTCTTTCTGGAGGGGGTGATGAAAAAATATCTATATGTGTGCTAATGTAAATGAACATATAGATATTCACACATGCACACTAAAAATGGATACAGATAAGAAATATTTACAAACTTAAGAGAGAGAAAGGAAGGAGTAATGGCCAGAAAAAATTAGGTGGATAACACAATATTTTTTTCCAAGTACAACAGCTTGAATCTACAGAAGGAAATGACAAGAAATCAAATCAGTAATTCTAAAGATCAATATAAATGATCATTTGTTAAGCCTGTTGATTTCTTGTGCATAACCTATAACCCAGGAGGGACTGTCCATCATTATGACTCTTCTTTCACAAAATGGATTCTCCCCAAGTTAAATAATACCAAACAGCAAAAAATTATGAGCATCCAGCTCCAAAGAGCATATAATAATTTATATGTAATTTCTATAAACATTCAATGGTACATTATAAAACATGCACAAAAGCAGTCCAAAAAAACATTAAGGAAAACTAAATAGAAATACACGTTCTAGTATTTTCTTCCCAACCCCTAATGACTCATCTCATGCACTCACTTTGGAGATCACCAGTCTAGAGAACAACACTCAGAAGATCATGTGTAGTAATTCCATTTAGCTAGAAAACTTTCATCTCTATCCCTAGGCTGGTCATCTTGCAAATACACAAATAGCTGCCAACAAAAAGTACTGGCAAGAGAACGTTAAAAGATTAGCAAACTTCTTCTCAATTACAAAAAAAAAACCAAAAAACAAAAAACAAAGAGCATGCCCTTTTATACCATGCACTTCAGTTGTTATAAAAATTCACAATCAAGAGAAACTGCACTATCATCTGTGACAGTTTAAAGTTAGCATGCTTTAAATAAATCTAAATGCCAGTTTTAAGATGAAATATAATAAATATCTTAAATCAGCAATTATTTAAAAGAATAGCTTTTTCAAGATCAAAAGAATGCACTTAAGAGCCTCTGTGACTGAATCCCATTCTACCTTCTAGCAATACTTCTCGTTACTCCCAAGTATGTACTGTTAACAAACCATTTCTCAACCATGTCCCATGCCTTCCACCATTGCTCCTCTGTACATGCTGGAGTTCTCTCCTTTTCCCCTTTCTCTCTAAATTCTTCCCATTCTACAAAGGCCTATTGAAGACCCACTGTAAAGCCTTAACTGAATCTGCTTCTCCATTACCCACATGTCCCATGGCCAGAATAGGTCTCTCCCTCAGCTGTACTTTCACACAACTTTATTTATACTTACTTCCTTTACAGAATTTATTATAGTCTTTCTTTTGGTATGGCTGTCTCTCAATTGTAAACTTCTTGAGGGCAGGGATATTGTCTTCTTGGGTTTTTATATTCTCCATAGCAACTAGCACAATGTCTTTAACGTTGTAACTGCTCGATAAATATATACTGATTAAAATGAATACTCAGAAACGCATGTGAACATTTAAAATAGAAATACAAATGAAGTGACTTACAAAAGATTCTTTGTACAAGGCTATGTTTCAAATAATTCTTGGTGGGAGGCAGGAAGAAGAGTAAAGGAGGAAGTGAACCATGAAACAAACGCTTAAGGGCACTAACCCTGTCTGGCACTGTGAATAGGGCTTATTTCCTAATCCAATCCAAGAAACTTTAAATGGGCAAAAAAATTAAAGGAAATTTTCTTTGAGGAACTAATTGCCCCTGGACATTTACTAGTTAAAAATCCTATTTAAAAAAAAAACACCCAATGGCCCCCAAATTAAATAAATAAAAACCTCCATCTCCCCATAAAATAAAAAAATTGGAGTCTTTTTTTTGTACCTTAGGAAATACATGTCCCCAATTGCTTACCTGACGTTACTTCTGGGTTACGGCCAGACGCAGGCTGCAGCTTGCGCTCTATTTCAGGGGGACACCTGTCCCCACCCCCACCCCACACCCCGTCCTAGTAGGTGAAAAACTTCTCAGCCACGCAGAGAGAACAAACTTCCTGATCTTCGTTGCAGAGAAGGAATAACACATCAGCTCTCTCAGGATCACTAGGCAACCTACCTTGGTGTTTCTTTATTGGACCAATCAGAAACCTCCAAGGCTGAGCTCAGCCAATCGGAGCTTACGAGGGGAGGCTCTCCCCCCGGCTATTGTTGCGATCCAGACAAACACCACCAAAAGGAGGCAGGTTTGGGTTCAACCTGACAGCTGGTCAATCCAATGAAGGAACCTTCATAGAGAGAGGAAAGAGGGCTACGCTCCCCATCCCCACTAAATCGGCCAATCAAAGCGTTCAGTGAGCTATCACCAGCTGCCGATCAACAAAGGTTTCCGTTGGTCAAGCTCAGTGTAGCAGGTGTGTTACTGTAGCAGAGTACACTGGGACAATAAGGTGGAATGGGTTGATATCCAATGAAGCTAAGAATACATAAACATTGGTTGTTTTCGACAAGTAGCTTATCCCTAACTTTCCTGTTAGAGAAAAATCTGATTTAGGTCAGTTTGTGGATGTTTATTTGGTTTATATGAAACAGGATAGGCACATCTCTACCACAGCATTCATACTAACATTCTCTGTTAGTGCTTGTTACTAGCAAGCCCATAAAAATGTTTGTTTTTAGACTCTGGCTGCTGAAATTGCAACAGACCAAGTTTTAATCCTTCCTTTTCTAAAGCACAGGAAATAGTCAAATCTGGAACCAGATCCCAGGTTTCTCATTAAAAGCATATCTTTCACAGTAACACTCAAAAAGTTCCAGGAAGTGTGCAAAGTGACATCTGCTAAAATCTCAAAATTAGTGTCTAAACATTTTCTGCTAATTAAATAAAAAGTAGAAGCCATGAAAGAGTCTAGAAGCTGAGCAGTATTTTATTTATGCTGCCAAAAATGCCAGACTTTAAAATCAGTCATTTTGTCTTTTAGTAAAAAAGTTAAAAAAGGGATAGCACCAATTTTTAATTGTACATTATATATTATCATGTTAATATACTATATCAAAGTACTGAAGAACACTTTTAATAACAACATAATGACAAACAGCTAAATTGTATAGTTTTAACATAAGTAAAAAGTGAATTTCTATCAAAATTTAATACCAAAATAAAGATTTATTTCAAAAAACTGCTTTAGAGGGCTTTAAAAGTTAATATATGTTTAAAGGAAATGTCCACCAAAATGGAAGATGGATCAATATTGAGTAGATAATTAAAAGAATAAATTATGACACTGGTACTTTTGTTTTTATTCAAAAGTTCTCTTGAATTTGTCTCATATAAAGTTCAAGATCACAATATGATAGTCAGCTAAGAACTCATTTTAGTGTACTAACTGCTTAAAACTACATATAAGTTTTCAGAGGTAGGGCAAACACACCTTAAAATAGTAATACAGTGTCCTTTAGTTTAAATGTTGTGAAGAACTTTGCAAACATGCAGAAAAAAAAATTTTTTATATACGTTCCTTTGGTGCTCTAAACTTTCTTCTTTTTGGCACTGACTCTTGACTAGAAGAATCAAACTGACGACGGACCTGTCAAAAGAAAACAACTGCTAAGGATAGATACTTTCCAGTTTAAATGTCTAATTTTAGATCTTTTTCATGTCTTTCAGGTTCCTTTCTTCCTTCCTCCTTTCTTTTAAAAAATTTTACCTAGCATACTATTTCCTACTAGGATAGGATAACTGGGTTCTTTAAAAGTAGCGTAAATTTTATTATTGACATATTTATATCTCCTAAGGGCTGCTGAAAGCATATCCTTGCAAAATACAAGGTTTTCATTAGGGTTGTTGGAGTAGTTAAAAAGATAGATTTAACATTATGTCCTCAAAATAGTAAAGTATTTTGGGGGGATGGAGGGGAGAAAGATTAAAAAATGAGCTGCAAATAGAGCAACATTCCACTTTGGCATCATGTAAAATTTAAATCCCATTTTGTTTTTGTATTGCTGGTGCTTGCAGTGCCTGATAATATTAGACATTCAATGCACACTTCAATGAATGGGAGGATGAATTAGGAAAATTGCTAACAAGATTCTAAGTTATTGAACTTTTATTTTTCTGGTAAAAACTCACTAATGATACAAATTGGATTATGTTTTTGCAGAAAAAATAGTCTTTAAGTTTTCAGTTGTGTAATTTTAACCTACTAATAATACTAAAAATTCTTGTTACAAATATAAATATTTATCTCAGAAATGACAAATACACTAACTGATTTGGTAAAATAAGTTTCCAAATATAAAATAAGTGTTACAGGATTTAAGTCAGGAAAAATTTTCTTTCTCTTACGGTACTAGGAAGAGATTCTATACTTTCAGGGAACACGTGGATTTGGTACCATCTTGTTTCTACTTTAGAAAGCTCAGATCAAATCTGTGGTCCAATTTTAATGCTATATGAATAAAATGGCCTGAATATTCTTGTACTCTCATTTTCTCATTCTATTCATATTTTTTCCTGACACTGATTTTTATTTTATTATTTCCTCCAATAAAGTCAAATCATTCATAGAATAAGACAGTAAATGTTTATATGGAAAAATTAATAAACCAACATAGCACATTTAATTTTAAAATCACCCCCTTTTTTAGACTCAAATATATTTAAACAAGATTTGGATATCAGAGTTCTGAGGTATATCCAGGAATATTATCACATTTATCATTTTAAGTTTAATCTATAGTAATGATATTCTGATATTTGTCATTATATTCAGCCTATGTATTATAATAAGACTTACTGTTTTCCCAGATTCAAGTTGACTTCTCTTCCGATTTTCCTTAGAAGATTTTACTTGTTGATTTCCATTAGCCTCCACAAAGATATAATTATTACTAACTGGTTATTTTTCAAAGAACAACCAACATATTTTTCAACCATACACAACTATATGCAGTTTTAAAAGAATAACCAACTCCACTGAGATATAATTCAGATACCATAGATTTATCCAATTAAGAGTGTACAATTCAATGATTCTAAGTATATTCAGAGTTGTGCAACCATCACCACAGTCAATTTTAGAACACTTTCATCCTCCAAAAAGAAATCTTATACCCTTACAGCTATGACTCTCCTATTCCCCCATCCTCCCACCAGCATTAAGACTTTCTGTCTCTATAGAAATCTCTATTCTGGACTTTCATATAAATAGCACCATATAATATGTGGACTTTTGTGACTGGCTTCTTTTACTTAGCATAATGTTTTCAAGATTCATCCAAGTTGTAGCATGTATTGGTACTTCATTCCTTTTTATGGCTGAATAATAATGATCTGCTGTATTGATATACTACATTTTGTTTATCTATTCACCTGTTATGAACACTTAGGTTTTCCCCACCTTTTGGCTATTGTTAATAATGCTATATATGCAGTTTTTAAAATGAATATTGGATGATGACAAATTATTAGCTGTCATATTGCTAGTCTCTAAAAGGACACACTTATTTTCCGATGCCTGAAGTGTACTTTTCAATGGTAACTTCCTTACTATTATTAAATATTATTCAGCATTTTCATTCCTTGTCCTTTTCTAACCATAACTCAGTCATTGTTCTCAAAATCAGGAGTATTTTTGTGGAATAAAGAATACTAAAGGATACTCAATCTAAATAGAAGCTGCCTAGGAAGAGCATTTTGCTGCTGGAGGTAGTAATTTTTGAACTTCTTTTATCTCTCATTTTCATCAACACACTAGTTCGAAGCTGCCTTCTGCCAGTTCCAACTTCACACTGAGAATGTAGGAAAAAAGAGCATCTAAAAATGGCACTGTCATCAGTGGTGTGCTGGTAAATGTTCAACAACCCATTCTCTGGGAGAAACAAATCCTGAGTTGAGACATTTGCTGATTTCCATGCTATGAATACTTTCATCATGTCCAAGTTGGATGTCACTGAATGAACATTTAGAAAGAAACGCTCCAACACACCACTGTTAGAGTGTGCTATTTGTTTCCTAATGAATATAATCCAAGATATAATATTTTACACATTTTACAAAAAGCTTTTTCTCCACCTCTGAAACTTTGAGAATAACTTAAAACTCTAAAATAAAATGCAAATTTCTATTTAGTACAAGTCATACCAAAAATTAAAACGAAGCAGTGGATTTTTTAAAAAAAATTTGAGATTCAATTTATGCAAGATCTATATATATGTATATATATAGACATTCATATTTAATGTCTTATTAATAAGATAATCCATTTACAAGATAGATCATGGGAACTTTGGCATTCTAGGAAATTTCCTAGGGAGTCTGGATGATAGTGTCACTTCTCAAAGCCTTTCTTGGATTCCCCTCTCTAATGTACCCTCAGTAAAATTAACCATTCCTTCCTTTGTGCCTCTATGTAGCCTATTCAGATTGCTATCGTGGCCCTACTTGTGGACTTTCAATTACTAGACTTTCAGCTAAGAGTAGGAAGCATTATTCATGTTTTTATCTATAGCACCTAATAAAGTACCTGACACATAACAGGTGCTTACTAAATGTTGGTCTAATAAACGAAGTACTAAAAGCAAAATAAACAGAATTATGGGGGGAAATTACAAGGTTGGAATGGAAAACAAATCTAAGGAGATGCTTACCATTTTATTTTGAAATATTTTTCCACTTCTTGTTTTGCTTTCAGACACATCAAGTTCAGATGTTTTACTGACTAACCGCTCAACCTAAAAAAGAAGATAAATACACAAAACCACATAAAATAATAATATAAAAGTTTTTTATAACACAATAATGGGGTTAAAAAATTCAATCACATAAAATTTAGAGCCTTGCTATGTTGAATTAATGAAAACCAATAATTTTGAATTGGTTCTTACTGTTACAAAAAGTACAAAGGTAAAGGTAGTGAAACTGACACTGTACATAACTGACCATTCATTGAACTGAGAAAGTCCCAAATTATCTCTAGGTACCACTTTTCCAGAAGATAAGAACTTCAGCCCACTCCCACTGGAGAAGGCATGTACAAAGGAAGGTAGACAATCAATCATCAGTCCCATTATTTTCATGTTGATTTTATCTAAATGTTGCTTCAGAATTTTACTGTATATAGAAAACAAAATTAAACATGTTCTTTTCAAGCAACAAAAACACATTCTATACTCCATTGGTAAATGCAAAGGATGGTGGAGTTAATAATTGCTTAAGATTCTGCTTAGCTTTGAAATTCTGAGTCTGTGAACAGTATTTAGGTTAATTACTAAACAAATCAACCTGTAGTATACTTAAAACTTTTCAAATATAATTCCCAGATTTTGTTAGTAACCATTCTTACTGCCTAATTTTCTTCTTAAAAAATCCTTAGAATATAAGAAAATCTGAGAGGTAACAAATAAGCATATAAGCAGCAAAGTCTTTTGAAAAAAAATCAAGTTAAAAGTGAGATAGAACTCTCAAGTTTATACCTGAGAATGAGAAATTGAAAGATCTGGACTTTCTTTAGACCTCATAATTTCATCTTCGTCACAAACTAAACTTTGTTCTAGAAAAAAAAAAGTTAAAATGGTATAAAACTGAATTCAAAGTAAATTAATTAATTTACATTTTCATTAACTTCTTACCTCCAAGTTCATAAGATCCAGGGTTTTTTTTCTGCTTTCCTACTTTAGTTTCAGTGTCAAAATCATCCTACGTAATTATATGAAGGAAAAAGACACATTTCAAAAAGAAATTGAAACAACTGGGTAGAAGTATTTATGAACAAATTTGTTTTATGTAAACATTAAATATTACATAACACTACAATGACCTTATTGCTTGCTAGAAATCATGTGGTCCTTTAATTAATATAACAAGGCAACTTATTTATCCAAAGTAGAAAATCCTATTTTTCTTTACTTTGCAGGATTGCTTTAAGGCAAATGATAAAATATAGAACTTTATCAAAAACGTATGATGGTTCTAAGAATGCTTAGATATTACTATTGTTCAAGGGCACTGAATAAGACATGTTCACACAACAAGCTACCAATTCTACAGCTCTGGAATTTCTGTATAGCTGTTAGGACACACTTTGAATATGACTCAACCCATCTTCAGGGAGTTAAGGAAGGATAGGCTGAGTATGTATGGCAGAAAAGCAAAGGCTTACTGTCTACTTTATATTATTCCCTTTGTAACATATGTCAAAGAGTTTTGAATATTTTAAAGAATGCTACATAAATCCCAGACATATTTGTTTATAAAGCAAGACTGGGATTTAGGTTTTAGAAAAAAGATTTCTTCTTCTTTGACTGAATTGATTGAAAATTGAATTTTCTATTTTTAAAGATGTGGCCACAGAACCTAAATCAGAATAGTATCTATACATAAGAATTTATGGTCATAATTTAGAATAAAATGAGACAAGAGAAAACAAAGATGAGATTAAAGAACAATCATGTAAATGATGAAAGACTTTTTGGGAGTGAGGCTACAACAAAAAAAGCTTTATTTAATACTTCAACTCATTCACTCATTCAACCAATACTGAGAATGCATTATGTAAATCTAAGTGCTAGGCACAGGAGGATTATAAAGACGATTAAGACATCTTTCCTCCCTTCCAGGAACTTCCAGGCTGCTTCCGGACACTGACTTGCCAGGCCCTGAAGAAATTCAAGCACAGGCTTACAAGAGCTCTAAGTAGGGTGTTCTAGAAAAGATTCCAGCATTAGCTGGGGGACTGGAATAGTTCAGTGATTTTCAAATTATGCTCTAGGCTAGGGGGTTTCCTCAGAGTCCACTGTGAGGGTAGGTGAGGTGGTGAGTGGCTGGGCCTCCAGGGTCATTCCCTTCTTCATTCAGAATATTTGTGCGTTTAAATTTCTAAGAATAATGTTGTTTGCACCCAGGTAAAAAGTTTTAAAACCACAAGCCTATACCTTCTTTAAGGTCTCTTCCAAACTGGAGCTTATGATTATACTAAGTATTTATACAAATACTGCTGAGGGCTATTACAGACCTCAGAACTGAATCAAACATTGGTTACAATTGCACTTCATAGCTCTTTAAATGTGCTTACACTTGTACAGTGCTCCTGTTCATCTTCTAGATCATCTTTGTCCATGAGAATTTTTTGAAGTGGTGTTTTTAACTGTTTTGGTGATAATATAGTCGAATCAATATTTTCCATTCGTTCTTTCTCAGTGGTCACTTTTATTTTGAAGGTGTGAAAAGCTGTTGGGACTTCTCCCACATTTAAGTACATAGGCTCCCCTTCAAATATCACTCCTTCACAATCACCATCCTTAAAACCAGGAGGCTGGTAATCTGGGGGTGTAACTGCAGAAAAGTAAGTATATACTGTGCTGTTCATGAAACTGAAGAAAATATAACAATTATTATAAAAAATATATGCAGACTGAAGAAATTTCAAATAGTATAGAAGGGCATATAATAAAAAGTAAAAACCATTCTCCTACTATCTCTAAGTTCTTATCTTATTCCTTAAAGGTAACCTTTTTCCCCTACACTTTATTGGCTGTGTGGCCTTGAGGAAACTACTTATCATCCTGGATTTGGTTTCCTCATCTGTCAGATGGAGAAAATACTAGTATCGACCTCACAGCGTCATTGTGGGTATTCAAGTCTGTAAAATGCTCAGAACAGAACTGGCACAGAACACGTATTCAGTAAGTGTAAGTTATTATTGTCTCTGCTTTACATTCTTCTAGAAGACATTATGCATGTAAAAATATATATATATAATATATATATATATAATTTTAAAACACAAATGAGATCATACTATTCTGTACCAAGCTGTCCTTAACATCACTTTTTAATCTGTTTTTAATATTTCTTGGATAACTTAATTTATCAGCACATTCTTTTAAACAGCTAGCACAAGCATTATATTATATAGATGCACAATAATTTATTTATCAGTTCTCCAATGAAAGACTGTCAAGTTGTTTCCAGTTTGTTCCTAGTTTAACCAATGCAATAATGAAAATCTTTATAAACATATAACCTTGCATATTTGTCTAAGTATATTCCCAAGATACTTTTCTAGCTATAGAATTTCTGGATTAAAGAGAATGTGCACTTAAAATTTTGATACTGCAAAACTGTCCTTTTAAAATGTTTATGGCACCCATATACATTTCCTCAAGAGTGTATAAAACTGCCTGCTTCCCCTCACACCCTTGTCAATAGTGAGTTTACAAGTTTTACAGATCTGGTAAGTGAAAAATGGTATCTCACTGCTTCACTTTTTAATTATGAATGATACTGAACTTCACATGTAAATGTTCATATCACTGGAGAAGCTGTGTATATTTTAAAGCCTTTTTTCAAATACTTTTATTTCATGTAAAATTTATAATTCCAAAAATATGTAACAATTTAAGTGCTTAAAAACATTTGGGATGGAAACCAACTGTTTCAATAATAATAAAATATACAGGTACCAACTGAAACAGAATGAATTGGAAATAGTACCTTCATCATAGTAAAAAAGTTTCATGGTCAAACAAACATCATTAGGTAAAGGTCCCAGATTTTGCATTAGAACGTAAATCTTGCGAATGAGGAGAATACTTGCTTTCTTGGTGTCAGCAGATGGCATATTAGATTCACTCTTTTGGTTTCTACTAGAAGAGAATCACACATTAATTCCTTTTATGAAAACTGTGGCTTCTAATAACATAACTTCACGTTTTACTACTTAAGATTCTTACTATTAAAGCATTAAGTTGTTAAGTTAAGTTACCATTAAGTGTGTTTTAATGTCACTGATATCACTGTTAATATCATTATTATAAACTAATTTACATATATTAAGTTAATATGCATTTTATATAAGATGTTTAAAGGAAACAAATTATGGATTTTCATTATATTTCTAATCACCGAAGCACAAAATAGCTTTCTTACTCTTTGGCTCTGTTTCACAATTAAAATAGTATATAACTAGCCACAGAATTCTGGTTTGTGGCCACTCCAAGGATATTTTGTATCCTTGATGGTTAACTGAGGATGTTTGAGAAGTTTCAGAATTATTCCTGAAGTTTATCTATATAGTATTAATATGGATAAGCAGTAATCTGTAATACAAAAAGAAAACTATAGAACAATACCTTATGAAGTCCATGATCGGTCCATTACTGGTGTACTTGAATTTAAATTGGTAACACTCTGAAATTGTCTTAAGTAGAAAATATTGCAGTTATGTATCTGATATACAGTACTGGCAGCCAAGTAGCCATATACAGGTTTTGTATGACTCAGCATATATTTAATACTTTTTTCTGCATTCCAATTCCTATTGGTCCATTGAAATTTGAAAGTCCTAATAGTCAATTTCCACAGTTTGGGCTCTGGGGCTTCAGTGTTGGAGAGTTATTTTCCCACTCACTGCAATGTATGTTTTACATACCAGAGGGAAGGAACTCCTCAGCAGGCAGGTAAGACAGGCAGCATCTCTCTTACTCTAACAGAATGGCTAAGCACAGGGCTTAAATCCTTCTATATGGTAAACACAAGCAAGTCATTTAAGCCTTAAGTCTCAGTTTCCCCAGTTAATAAAAGGGGTTGAAAATAGTACCTATCTCATTGGTGCCTGTGAATATTTATCAAATGGGATAATTTATAGAGAGCTCTTAAATACTGGCACACTAAGCATTCAATAAACGTTAGTGTATCGGCAATGTTGCTCTTTTAAGTGAAAAAAAAATGTGCAACAACAAATCATCTGAAAATAAAATGAACATTTTTCTGTAGTTTCTGAACAAGTAACTTACTGATAGCCTTTGCCTTATAGCAAATGATTTTCTTTGTCACCATGGACATATATTAAGTATTACTTGCAGGTATGCGTATCAAAGAAAAGACACTCCCAACCGTCTTGAAGTCCTAATACTTTTATTGTTTTCTTTACATTTCACTTCTCACTTAGGGATGGGGTTAGCTCTCTCTTTTTTAAAAATCTGCTTCTCCATGACTGAATGAAACACCATACTGTAAAGCGGTGTAATGGTTCAGCACTCAGATCATGAACTGGCCTTCTTAGGTCCAAATTCTGTTTCTGCCACTGTGACCTTAGGTAAGAAACCTTGTGTCTGGTTTTCCTTATCTATAGAGTAGAGATGATAATGGTATTACCTCATGATGCTTATGATGAATAAATGAGATAATGCACATAAAGTCCCAAAGAACAGAGCCCAGGAATAGTAACAACTCAATAGATCTTTCCCCTTCATTTCTTGCCTTCTGGTTTTCCCTTCCATTTTTTATAATCCTTTCTTTCCTTTAATTGTCAGATGAACAGGTAGATGTGACTGGATTGGGGTGACTATTCAAAGATTAAGGATGAGTATCTTATTTTTTCTCAAACTCAAACCCTTTTATAATTCTATAAAAAGACTATTGTAAAGAACCAGAAGTCAGGAGATTTAGGTTATTTCTAATGGTTTGTGGCTTTGTGGCCTAGATCAGTCATGTAATCTCTCTTGTAGTAAGTGTATTAATCGATTTAAAGATAACAATATAAACCCTATCTTAACTCAAAAAAGTCTTTATGAGGTTCAAATGTGAAAATATATGTGAAAGTGCACTGATAAAAGTACATTGATAAATGCACAATTAGAAGCATAAGATATTATTATATTATACTTTTATGTTACTTTTAGATAATAGAGGCATTATATTTCTCTGACTCAAGCATACTTACCTGAGGGTCTTCTGGATTGGTGTATACCTATTTTAAAATAATTTACAATTCAGTTATATAAAGCTAAATATTCAAGAAGAACTAAATTGGATGTTTAGACTAAACTATTAAATGAATTCAGAAAACAAAATACAAAACAACCCCCCAAAATATTACTTTTTTCCACTGGCTAGATCAGTTGTTTGCATATAATGACACAATCAATACATGGTTTTAGTGTTATTTAATTAAGCAAGGCCAAATTTGACAGTCTTTAAAAAAGAACAACATAATTAAAAAATACTTACAGCTAGAACAACCATCCTTAGCTGAAATATAACAAAGAACAAAAATCTTTTATTCTATACAATATTTTTTCATGCTGGATCATAAGAATTCTTTGTCCTAGTTCAACATTCATTGCTAAGAAAAATAATCTTGAAGAAAATAGACTTCACATCATGCATATAAAGCAATACCTTAGACATCCTTCTCTATTCCCCAAAATATATATTTCTAGTTGACTTACTGAAGGTTGAAATTCATGTCACTGACTTAAGCAAACAGGGATACTGCTGCCAGTTACAAGGAAAATGCATATTGTGAAATAACACATTAAACCTTACCAATATGACAACCGATTTTGAAAAGAGGAAAAAGTAGAATTCAGAGCCCTGCTCATTTAGTAAAGGGAATAGACTCTGGAGACCATAGGAGGAGAGCATCAGAGGAAATTATTCACTCAAGTAATCTGTGAAAAATCAGAGTCATTCTTGATTTGGATCTGTTCCTTATACTCCCAAACCGATCAATCAACAAGTCCAATCAGTCCTACTGCCAGATATAACCTGAATCTTTTCATTTTTCTCCTCCTTTGCCATCCTGGTCTAAGCCACCATTATTTTTCACCAGTACTGCAGTAATAGATTAAGTGCTAGTCTCCTTAATTCCAATCTTATTCTCTTTCCACAGTATATTCTCTAAATAGCAGAGTGATTTTTCTTTTAATTTAGAAAATAAATCAAATGATGTCACATTTCTACTCAAAACATTCAGATGGCTTTTATTTGCACCTAAAATAAAATCCAAACTCTTTACCTACACAGCCCTGGATGCTCTGGCCCTGAGCTTCTTCCCAGCTTCATCTCCTGCAGCTCTCCTGCACTGATCCCACTTCAGTCATTCGGGCCTTCTATTTGTTCTTCGAATTCTCCAAACTCCCCTCCAATTCTTTGCGTTTGCTGCTCTGTCAAGAATATTCTCTCCTAAAATCAATGCCTGGCTGGTTTCTTCTATTTCAAGCCTCAACTTAAATGTCACCTCCTAAGAGAAGTTCCTTTGACTGCCCTATCTAAAGTTACTCCACCTCTCCATTTGCCACGTATTTTTCCTAAAAATATCCCACTGGATATTATCTGATTTTTTTGTTTTATTGGCTGTTTTCCCACTACAGAAGGGACCCGCTTTGTCTTGTTGACCACTGTTAGCATACCCAGCTCCTACCTAGGATATGTGCCTAGCACATAGCAGGCACTCAATATTTAATGAATATTAAATATTTAATGCCTTATTGAGCTAGGTTAGTGACCATGGATAAAGTTTTATCTTTTTCATATTTTTTTTTAAGAGTCGGACTTCCTTGTTTATGTTGATATAAACATAAGCTAAGTATACAAAAAGGCTTGTCACAATTTAACCTAGACTACATTTTTGAACTCTCATGAAGAAACAATTTATTAAATCATTGGTATAAACAAGATTGTAGAAGGCATGTGAAATTAATGAATGAACTTTTTTTTTGGTGGGTTACAGAGATTTTTTTTTAATTGAAGAACAGTCAGTTTACAATGTTGTGTTAATTTCTGGCGTATAGCATAGTGATTCATTTATACATACATATTATATATATTTACCTCTTCATATTCTTTTTCATTATAGATCTTTACAGGTATTGAATATAGTTCCCTTGAATGAACTATTTTAAAAGACTTTAATTTCATTAATTTTTCTGTAAGTTAATATGTGTTATTAATACAAATGAATGTTAACAATTAACCAAAACTGGCTTGGCAAAATTTAAGTATTAATTCTATTAGCTTTAAATGAGTTGAATATCAGTCTTTAAAATATTCAGATTTTCAGTATTTTGGACTGGTCTATGCCCAAGTTACTTTAAATTAATCTTTTACTACATGATAACTGCTGTTACATTCATAGAATATAAACTGTAGAAAAAAAGAAAAAAGAGACATTGACTTACGTATTTTTTCTGTAAAGCATCATAGCATCCTAACATCCTAAAAAATAACCAAGGATTAGTTTTTAGAATGAGTGCACTTCGAGAAAATAGTTTTGTTAGTAAGTCTCCATATTATCTCATTACTAAATAACACGATTTTCCTATTAAAGCTCCCTTCTTAACTAGCTTAAAACAATAAAACAAAACAAATAATGTGGCAGAAACGTAACTGTCAATAGGAGATGGGAGGGAAGGAAGACAGAATGTATCTGACAGCTATTTGTGAGGAACAGCAATAGGAGAATGAAGCCTGCTCACGTGGAGCATGAAATAAAGGAAAATTTTAATGCAAAAATCCAAAGACCTGAAAAAATGGTATCCAGTGTTACAGAAGGAAATCACTAAAACTGGGTTAAACACTTAAAGATATCCAAAGTACAAAGAAAATGTGATTTTAGAAAAAAATAATTTTCTTTCATTAGGTATTTTACTCACCACTTCACTAACTGCGAAGATCCTGGACAACTTTTGTCTTCTCTCAGAATTTTGACACAAAGATCTAAATATAAAAGTGATGATATAAACATAGAGCTACTTAAGAAGTAAACAACTAGAAATTTAGATGAAGAGTATTTTCTTCAGCTGCATATTACAGGTTTATTATTAATGGCAATGAATATAATTAAAGGAAGAAAAGGTTTTATGGAAACAATTTTTTAATCCTTAGTATAAAAAGGCATCATAATGATCAGGATGTATATTGATGGGAAAAAAATGTCCATTTTAAAAGCCATAGAATACTTAGGGTTACCTATAATGCTCACATGCAATTGTTACCCAAGAATCTAGAATATTTGCTATGGACTCTTTTCCCAGTAAAATACTTGCAACAGGCTATCAGATACAGCCCTGCAAGGAAGCAACAAGTAATATAGTGGGAAGAACTGATATTGCTGTTACAGGTTCCTTATCTGAAAAATTGGGATAATATCTACCTCATAGGCCTGTAATATGAATTAACAAGATACCATACATAACGTAATGCTTAACATATTGCCAACAGAGTTGATGCACAATATTAGGTATATATTATGTGCTGCACAGTAAGTTATTGTAGTATAAACTGGTTATATTACTTTTACCACTTTAAAATAACACAAGAACATATACTACCAGTGTACAAGGCTATAAATAATAGAATGTTTTTACCTATTTACTTCTTCACTATAAGAGTAATGTCAGGAGATAATATACTTGAGAAACTGAGGGAAATTTTTATGATTAAGGGCTTTCCAAGGTATCTAATATACTTTAGAAAATCACTTAGCTGTCCACACAGAAACTTGTTCATGAATGTGGCATTATTTATAATAGCCAAAAAGTGGAAACAACTCAAATGTTCATCAAATGATGAGTGGATAAATAAAATGTGGTATCTCCATGTAAAGGAATATTATTCAGCGATAAAAAGAATGTAGTGTAATCCATACTACAGTATGGATGAACCAAAAACATTATGCCAAATGAAAGAAGCCAGTCACAAAGGACCACATAGTGCATGATTTCATGTATTTGAAATGTCTAGAATAGGCAAATCCAGAGACAGAAAGCAGATTGGTGGTTGCCTAGGACTGGGAAGTGGGGTAAGTGGAGAGTGATTTAATGGGTATGGGGTTTCCTTTTGAGGTGATGAAATGTTCTGAAACTCACTGTGGTGATGGCTGCATACCTCTTTGAATATACCAAAAGTCAATAAATTGTGCATTTTAAATGAGTGAATTGTTAGGTATGTGAATTAAATCTCAATAAAGCAGTTATTAAAAAACCAAAATCTCTAAGTCAAAAATTACCATTTCAGATCAAGTGAAAATAAAAACAACACGTTTAAAGAAAGTTTTTAAATAAACATTATATTACCATCTAGATATCTTGTTCCATAAGCACACTCTGGAAATATTCCTCTCAAATACGTGATGCAGGATACCGAAACTGCTAGAAGCCTCTTCACTAACACTAAAGACTGCTGCTCAGTTGATATCTTATTGGGAAATACCAATGCACTCTAAATTTAAGGGAAATTAAAACATTTCATTTAGATTTATTTAAAATACAGTTTTCCTGAACTTAAAGTAGATCTAATTTTTTTTGCATAAGCATGGTACCGTCCCAGAATTCTTAACCGTAGTGGTTAGTAATCACCAGAAAATCAAGGTGGCTTTTCAGTTGTGAGGGTGTTTCCAGGATAGCAGCCTAAAGGTAACATACAAAAAGTGCTAAAAAATCGGGTCAGAAATCCCCTTGCTGGTTAACTGTCTGTAAATGCATTATACAAGGATAAATAACATTGATTTTTCTCTTCAGTCACTGACTAGGTTTAACACAGGTTAACTGTAATGCAAGATCTGCACAGAGAAGACAATGTTATCCTTGTGTGGCATAGAAATTCATTGTCTAGGATTGGACTTTGTGAATGATAATTTCATCAAAGCAAAAGACTAGCATTCGTTGATACCTAATGCAAATTGAATTTGAACCAGCAATTTAATGCAATGCATCAAACATCCAATAAAATTCTCTATTAATTCAAATTAATTTAACACATATTTTCATTTCTTAAAACATGTGGAGTCCTGATATCATTAAACCCTCAAAGAGTTGACTCTAACTTTCAAACATAAAAATAGTTAAGACTTCAAGAAACAATAAAATTAGCTAAATTAAAATATATTACAAGAAATCATACCGTGGAGGAAGTTCTCCGCAATTGTGCAGTGGCCATCTTCTGATAAAGTATTTTCTTTAAATCAACCTTGTGACACAAATACAAGCTTCAACTTCATATCTTATTTTTATCTCTAATATTCTAGTTTACTACATGTAAAGTCAGAAAGAATTTTATATGAATAGAACTATTTTTACCTAAAATGGAATCTTCAAAAACAGAGATTCATTTTGCTATACAACTCTTTTAAGTCCTAATTTTAAGCCATCTAACTAGCAAGCCTCACAGAAATGGGTTTATTAAGAAAGCTCGTTAAAAGACCTTTAAAGAAAAAAGCATGATCTGTTTTTCTTCACTTCACAGTATTCAAACACTGACAACATTGCACAGGTAGGTAGTAGATAATGAAAAATTGCCCGTCAAACGCTTTAAAATAATCTTTTAATTTTTGTTTTAAATTTGTAGTTTCAAAATGACCAAATCAGGTAACTTTCCTTCCCCGAACTTTAGCACGACTCTGGATATAACATATTGTTCTACTCTGTGGAAAAACCATAAAAGAGCAACAGAAAACACTCTAGATTTTGGGGGGGCTGATTCTGACTTTCTCAATTATAACTTTGATATTTTGACGTAAGTTTCATTTTTTTGTCTCAATTTCATTCATCTTAATCAGACAATTCATCTAGAAGAATTCACAGAAGAGTCTATTTAAGGTAAACGTTTAAATTTATCCTGATGAGGCCTGTAGTAGAAGCCACAGCAGACCTAAAGAACCTCTTGTGAAAAGTAGGTATACCTTCCTCCTCCCCACCTCCGCCCCCCGCCAATGTTTCACCATTAAGACCTTAAGAAACTTACAAGTAGATGGGAGGTAACAGAAAAATACATCAAAAAGAAAAAGAGAGAGAAAGAAACGAAAAGAAGGAAAACGAAAAAGAAATTTGTATTACGGAGCGTCTGAGGGTCCTGAGACGGCGACCCGGAGAGCGGCAGGTTGCGGCACGCGCTTCGCCCGATGCGCATGCGCCTTCCTTCAACCGTTGCCTGCAGTGGCGCGACAGAAGCCTTTTGACCCCGCTGTGGAGGTCAACTTTCCCGCCAAGAGCAGCGCAAGGTGCGCTGGGAAACTCGAGGGCCCGAAGACCTCGCCTCAGCTAGAAAAGCTACATGCCTTAAAGGGAAGGTTAATGGCACGTGCAAAGCCTTCCCGATGTACATAGCTTTCCTACAGTGACCGAAGTGTTTCCAGCCGCCGTTTAATTAAATTCTGACTGTTTTGATTTTGTTATTGAATCTACCATATAATGCATTTCCGCCTTACAGTGTCTTCAGGAAACCAGTTGCTCCTTCTTAGGTGTTTCTGCTGTGCTGTCTGTGGGGACAGTGACAGCTTGAATGTAACTAATGTCTCATGTAGAAGCAAAATAATCAAATCAGAGCTGGTAGGTAGTTGGAGATTGTCCAGTAATACAGACTTCTTAGTTTACAGAAGTTTGTTATATATCCAAATAAATCGTGCTAGTCGTGTAGACATATATCAATTATTCATAAACTTTGATATGTCTGCGTTACCGGTTAGAAAACAGACACCCCAGATATAAAAAGATTTTCCCAGAGTCAGGACAGGAATGAAATCTAGAACCCTGCTTTCAGGGTCAAAAATAGTGAAAATCCCCTGATCTAAAAATTACTTTGCTTTATATTTCTCTCACACTTAAAGTTTTGTGAAAAATTGAACAGCAACCTCAATTAGTGTTGGGAGATCAGAATGGGGAATTCTTATGCTGTGGGAGACAGCAGAGCCCAGTAGGAAGAAGGACTCCTCTTCTTTCCTGGCAAGGACTCAGCCAGTGAAAAGCCATAGACTCTTTGTTTACTAGAGCCCTCTCAACTTCCTTTTCCTCTATATAAAAGCATTCTCCTTCCCTTGCGCTGCAAGGGCTTGCATATGGCTGGCCATGGTTGCAGACCCCAAACTGGAGTTTTCTGTTGATCCCCCAAAAAACCAGCTTTTCTGGAGAAATATCTAGCAGCCATTTGTTTCAGGTCAACAGTGTACAAAGAGCTTTCACATTTACTATCTCATTATTCTATGTTATTCTTGCTTTGCTTTTTCCAAGAACCTTGTGAGGAAGACACACGTATTACCCCTACTTTAGAGATGAGAAAATGATTCAGTGGGAAGGGTATAGCTCAGTGGCAGAGCACATGCTTAGCATGCACAAGGTCCTGGGTTCAATCCTCAGTACCTCCATTAAAATAAATAAATAAATAAATAAACCGAATGATTTCCCCCTCTGAAAAAACAAACAAAAAACCCACAAAATTTTCAAAAAAGTGTAAAATCAATAAGACAGCTCAAAAAAAAAAAAACAAAAACAATTCACGTAAAATTGGTTTCTCGAGATGAGGTTACTAGTAATTTCAGCACCAGCAGCCGGGGAGTCACTACACCACCTAATGATGACATAAAAGTTTATGATATGGTGCTTCATATTAAATTTTTGAGTTATTAATAACTATACAAAAAACAATATATGAAAAATAAATAGCTCATCTGTGATAGATAGAATCACAATAATGCTGTAGGCGAGGAATAATTTCTCTTAGGGTCTCTGGCTGGGCCATAAATTAAACTGACAGAAAGCAGACTAACAGGAGAAAACATACAAATTGTAATTATATATGTTTTACAAGTACATGGGCGTCTTTACAAGGAAAGTGAAGACCCTAAGAAGCAGAGCTGAATGCTTATATATTGAATTGGACAAGTAGCAAATTGTGAAATGTGATTAGGCCAAAGGGGTTGGGCTGGGGCAGTTAAAGGATTTGAGAAGTGACTTAGGAGGATGAGGGTTAATTTAACACAGTTTGTACAAATTTACCTCAGGCTTGACTGCATGCCCTTGGTGATAAGAATGTCTCTTTCCTTCTGGTATAAGAAGGACATTTTCACATGGGAATTTAATCTGCTTTCAAGAAAAAGAAGGGAGATCAGAATGTCTTTCTTGCAGCTGCTGTTTTTCAATTGCCTTTAATTCAAAATAGTCAATAATGCCAGAGAGGCATATTCTGGGGTGGTGTGTTCTGAACTCCTTCAATGCAATAACTAACTACTGACTTAACCAACTATATCATTGACTGTATTTTGAGGATGAGAGCAGAGAAATTGGTGGTGTTGGTGCAAGAGATCTAAAATATCAACTACCATAATAGTAAGTATGCAGATACCATTTTAAACTGAGAAGTCAAAAAATAGCAATACAATGTATCAGAAACCTGAAGGTAAACACTAGAAGAAACAGCTAAAAGAATTGTCATTGACTTAAAACTATTACTGATTTTAAAAAAATATTGGTTAAAAGAATGAGATGTTTGGTTTTTACATATATTCACCATAAAACAACCAACCTTCAGTGGTACATAGTGTTAATCATAGTGTCATTTTGAATTTGCCTCTGAGTTGTTTAGTAACAGCTGCTAGGTACTGTAGGGAACATAACATTTTTGCTGTCTAGAATAGATAAATTCTTGATTATATTACACAAGCACTGCCAAGATACACAAATCTATATACGAGGGATCAATTTTTATACAATTTATTTACACAATTTATTTGCTATTTGAAATTGTTGGGGAGGAAAAATGTTTCCTCTGCCTGCTAAGATATAATACTTGGGCTCTGAAAATTAAACTGACAACAGTCATATTGGCAAGAAAAAAATAACATTTAATTATGTATGTTTGCATGGGAATTCACAAAGAACTGTGGCTCAAGATATGGTTAGAATTTGAAGTTTATATGCCATCTTAATAGGAGATAGGAAGGAGCAGATGGTCACTTATGGTAAAACAAATGACTTTCTGGGAAAAATAAGTGGTCTCTTAGGAGAGTAGATGGGCTGTATGATAGCTTTATGACAATGTCTGTGTAGGTGATTTCTTATCCAGGTGCTGACTTGTACTGAATTCTCTTTAGTGAAGTTGAACAAGCTGATGCTGTGTCTTCTTGTTTCAGCTCTCATATTGTAAACAAGTGTACTTTTTTGTCATCTATTTAGTACCATGTGTTGCAATTTTGTGTCTCTCTCTCTTTCTCTATCTTTTTTTTTTTTTGATGATGATTTGGCTGTTTAAAATGGGTAGTGCATGGGGAGGATATAGCTCAGTGGTAGCGTGCATGCTTAGCATGCATGAAGTCCTGGGTTCAATCCTCAGCACCTCCATTAAAACATAAATAAATAAACCTAATTACCTCCCCTTCCCAAAAAGTCTAAAGTGGATAATGCTGTCTAGAAGTTCTGTCTAATGTTCCTAAACGTAAGAAAGTTGCGATGTGCCTTACATAGAAAATATATGCATTAGATAATTTTTCAGGCATGAGTTACAGTTCTGTTGGCTGTGAGTTTAATGTTAATGATTCAACAGTATATATTAAATAAAGTGTCTTTAAACAGAGACATACATAAAAGAAGGTTATGTATTAATCAGTTGATGAAAATGTTGTGACCAAAGGCTTACAGGAACCTAACCCTGTATTTCGCTTAGAAACAATGCTTCAGTGTTTGATAATTCATTGTTCCTGGTATTATTTGCCCATAACTACTGCAAATAATGAGAACTGATTGTTAAATACTGACAGGGTTCAGGACACACTACCCCATAATATGGCACCGTGGCATGTTGAATACTTTAAGCTGAAGGGATTTAGAAGTGGCAGGAGGAGGAAGGACTCTTATCTGCCCCTTTCCCCTGAAGCAGTTCAAATTAAAAAGCAGGTGCTGGAAGGACTCTGGTCTACCCCTTCTCCTCTGAAGCAGGTCAGAAGATTCTCATGTGAGCCGTGCCCTCCGTATACCTAGAAGAAAGAAGTATCTTTACCTCCAAGGACAGTGGGATGTTTCTGAACACTTCTGAACTTAGCAGGCCTTGCTAAGTTTCCCCTAGTTTATCACCGTTAGCGCGTACCCTTTTGTCCCACCACCTTTTCCCAGGACTTTCCACTCTTCATAGAACCTAGTATAAATAAGTGTCCAAGTTTAACTGTCTCTTCCAGGCTTCATTTCCTTATGAAGGTTTCCATGTCGTATAAACGTAAATCAAGTAAATTTGTATGCTTTTCTCTTCTGAATCTGCCTTTTATCAATCCAATTTATAGGGTTATAGCTGGGGAAACTAAGAGGATAGCAGGAAAAATTTTTTTTTCCTCCATAATACTTTTTGATTTTTGAGCCACATGAATGTATTAGCTCTACTAAAAATTAAATTAAAAACAAAAGACTCTCAGGAACTTAGAAAGGTTAACTTTCTATTTCATTTTATTTTTTGAGGGGTAGGTAGTTAGGTTTTTAATTTATTTTATTTTTATTTATTTTTTAATGGACATACTGGGGATTGAACATAGGACTTCATGAATGCTAACCACACACTCTACCACTGAGCTGTAACCTCTCTCTCAATTAACTTCCAATTTCATTACAGCAATCTTGTTCATTATCTTTACCTTGGTGAAGCAAAAGGCGAGAGGAACAAAATCCAGATCAAAGTACAGTCCTGGGAGGGATAGGAAAAAGAAAAGGAGGAAGGGAAAGAAAGCTCTGAATAATGGGTTCCTTTAAATTTTAACAGGAGTTTTAAAATAGTTTCTAAAAGTGTTAGATTTCCATTATTGTGAAGGAACTAGGACCTATTTTTACTTCTAACACTTATAATGGGCTGGTCATTCTTCTGTATTCATTTATCACTCATTCATTCTCTCAACAAATAGTGACTGATCACTTTAAGGCAGGCACTATGTATGCTGTGTTCTAGGCACAAAGTGTCATGATTTCTGCCCTCCTTGACTTTACAATCTAATGAAGGAAAGAGATGCTATATAAGTAAGTATATAAATACATATATAATTACAATTTGATGTGTTATGACAGAAAAGCACTGTTCTCAATCAGAAAGTCAAAGGTTGGGGTGCCTTGGGGCTGCTCCCTCTACCCCAGCCGGACTGTATTCTACCTATGGAATGTGTGTCTCTGAGACAGGATGCAGGGGGACAGGGCACAGCCATTCAAGGAATGCCACAGCAATTAACATCAAAATGGTAAAAGATTCAACCCCCAGTAGGCCTTGAGGCTTAGGAAGATTAGAGATTTAACTTCTAGTAGATCTTGAGCTTCATTATAAGCCCATTGTAACATATTAACATGGTGAATAACACGCCCACAGGCACCATGGCAGTCCCAAGGCTAGCCACAAAAGGTCAAAGGGTGGGAAACGGCCAAATTCCTGGGAATCCCAGCCCCTTCCCCTTAGACTGGTCCTTCCACTTATTAGCACATGAAGCCACCAAGTCCATAAAAACCAGCAACACGGTGCCTTGCAGCCGCCCCTCTGTCTCCCTCTTCGGAGACATTCTATCTGTGGAGTGCATACCTACTTTTAATCTGAGCACCCAACCCCCACACCTCGTGGCCTTTCTCTTGCCTTTCAATGTATCTCTCTGAATAAATCTACATTCACTCAACTGTGGCTCGCTCTTGAATTCTTTCCTGCGTGAAGCCAAGGACCCACACTTGGTGAAGCATGTCCCAGGGGCTCAACCCTTCTGATGCCCCACGTCTGTTTTCCTGCATCATATCCTAGGGCCTCTCTTGCCTTCTGAGATGGCCCACACTCTGTCTGTGGAGTGTGTATCTCCTTGAATAAATCTGCTCTTACTTTACTATGGCTTGCTCTTGAATTCTTTCCTGCACGAAGCCAAGGACCCTCATTTGGCTGGGAGCGTCCCAGGGACTCACCCAAGACCTGGGACACAACCATCCTCTTGCACCCCATTTTCCTGCAACATTACCATGTTTTTATAGTTAGCAATTATTCTTCTTTAAAATGTAATTTGTGGAGAGAGAACCAAAGATCATGAAAATGGTTAAAGTTCAGTTTAAGAAACACTAACGGCATCACCCCACATATTTTTCATGTCACAGACATGAATCTATGAAATTTAAAGTTCCTGCTGCCTCTTCAGAGCCTGTCTACTAATCTAGAGCAGTTGTGAGGAAGATCAATCTGAATTAGATAAAACTATGAGTAATGGAATATTTTTAAAGAAATGCAGTTCAGTTATTTTTTCAGGTTGACTAATTGTTTGCCCCCAAAAGGCCCTGGCCAAATTGCTAATGACTAGGTAAAAATAATGTGAATTAGTATATTAATTGCTAATTATTAAAAACAAAGTACT